AGAATTGCTGAGTTCTTTGCATCTTTACCTTTTCTAACATATATTTATGATGAAAGACTAAAGCCATCAATACACCGCGTTCAATTATAGAGAAAAATAGCACAGATAGTGCGGGGTTGAGTAAATAAAATGATCGCTCTATTGACGGCATGTTTGTTTTTTGAAATCCTTGTGCGCGCGCTGAATTGCATCAGCAAAAGCGCGCGCAAAAACTGTGTTCGACCACCTTAAGGCACAAAAGACAACAACTGGCATAGTCCAATGTTGCTGGCACAAGTCAAGAAACTTAAAAATATTTGAACCAAATTCATAGAACTGAAACTTACAAAATACTCACTGTACTGGAGGCAGTAGAAATGGCTCCAATGTTACAATATTATTTCTCTTAGCTAAAAGCAGGTGTAAGAAGAACAATTTCATGCCAGGTAAATAACCTTTCTAGCTATAATCTGACTGGTGGTGTAAATGCACGCAAGTGAAATCATTAATATTTGAATGTGACAATAGCTGTGGCTACACTACATCATTCCATTTAAAAGGCATACTTGGTGTATCCCCACCAAGTTCAAATACCGGAAAGCCATGATAAACCACTTAGGTCAACCTCACCTGTGTTGTTACTACACTATAGCACCTGCGCTTAGAAAAGTGAAAAACTATCACAAGAAAATCGAGATTGGACATAGTGTTGGAATGTTACTCCTGGCAGATTGTAGTATAACCACAGCTTAAGATAATTTACTCCACATACATGATTGTACATTCTCAGTGCTGCCTGGCACAACGAGGAGTGCTTACATGTACTGGGTCTAGAACCCGATCTTCAAATGTTATAGAAAGGCTGCTTGAAGCTTGAGAACCAGCAGGAGAGCGTGATACTGGGGACTGACGCGGCACAGGTACAGGCCTCCTTGCTGGTGCTGATTGTCGTGCAGCCCGATCTCTAACATTTAATGGCATTTCCCTGTCAGATTRCTGTGAATGTGGTACTCGAGGAATAASTGATTSARGGATTRGCCTTGGAAGAGACTTTAASTATATATTGTSCAGTGTTTGTTTTACACTTGTCAATCTTGCACGCTCCCATTTCAAATGCTTCACTTTGTAATTTTGCAACTGCGGGACTTCAGAGTCAGAATCTGGCTCATATGAGCTCTCATCAGAGCTTGTATACTCCACTGTGAGCACTTGCTTTATCTCATCCTTTGTTTGCTCACTCCAAGTTGTTTTATTTAAGGCAGATAGCTTGTGGCCAAGCTTCTGCAAAATTGACAAAAAAGCACATGATAAGTACATCAGTATATTAAGACTACCTGAAAAATATTGTAATCTCAAGTAACACCATCTAGTTTTTCTGTAGTATCATAAGAATTTTTCTTGCTTGTTTCATACATGTGATATCAATAGCAGTGCAGAGATGATTGTGTCCCACTGTCCCTAGAAGATTTCAGGTAAATTATAATGCATTAAGTTGTGGTGAATTTTGGATACACAAAACATAATTGTGTAGTTCCAGAAAATATCCATATCTCCCCCATGGAAGGGATATTTTCTTGGATGCCCACACCCCTCTGGAAATTCCAAATAAGCCTTGTACATTTATTTAAACTTTTTGGTCTTTGGGAGCCCCCACCCCCCAGGAAAATTTAAATCCCATCTGTTGAGGGGAGTGTGGATATTTTCTGGAACTGCACATTACAAATGACACCAGCTTTTAGCTAACTAGTATGTGGATAACAGTTTTAAGGCTACAAGAATGACCCCGTTATATTTGAAACTTACATCTCTTTTCCTTGCTTGCCTTCTACAGGTTGCTTTATGTTCGTTTGTTCTGAACAATGTTCTTCTTGTTTTTGCATCAGTTAGTGACCTGTAGTATGTTGCACTTGATTCTGCAGAATTAAAAGAAACACTTTAATAATAAACTTCTTCACTGTTTTTGCTTAAATTGTAGCCTGAGCAAACAGTCAGCTTGCCATTGCAAAAAAACAAAACATAATGCACATTTGTTATTAACACACAAGTGTTTTATTTAACAAATAAAGAAACCTAAGCCGTATATTACTCAGTGATAAAACACGACGGGCATTTGAGAACAGGAGGGAAATGTAGAAAACACTCATCTGCGGCTTGTGTTTTCTACATTTCCCTCGTGTGTTCTCAAATGCCCGTCGTGTTTTATCACAGTGGAATACATGGCGTAAGCTTCTTTATTTGCTTTATGATACAGAGGCAATGTGGCAAAAAACAATAAAACATGCTTTTTCTATGTTTTATACTCTGATAAAACATGGGTTTTTGACCAATCAAAGTGCACGCAGGGTCCTATCTATATTAGAATGGAAAATACACCACTTGTAAACTTTAAAGGAAACTTCATCCAAAACCCAAGAGGCACAGTACACATACTTATGACTTTATTTCCAGTGTTTTTCTGTTGATAGTACAAACATTCGGCAATGGGATCAGTGATCATCGTGTTTCATTAAGGACAGGGTGCCAGGCACATACCTCTTAACTGTTCAACAGACTATGGGCACTGCTCCTTCCCTCCATAGTCACTATAAATTGACTCTACAAGTTCGGTAAATACAGCTCTGTTGACTTCAGAGGCCAACCTAGAAAATTATACAGTTCAGTTAACACAAATTACA